TGATATTTTTATGTAAATCGCAAATCAATCACCACAATAAGTGTAGTTAACATCTGTCACCATACGTAGTTACTCTCGGCAATTTTCAGATAGACATCACAGTATTGTTAACTAGTCACTATCTGTACATTGTATCCTGAGGACTTACATTACAAACTAGAGGCCCAGTGCATGAGTTTTCATGCACTGGAGGGGAGGGTTCCTCAGCCCAGCCTGCCCCCTCTCTCAGTCTGGGAGCCCTCAGGGGCAGGAGGCAACACAGCAATCAGGGGAAGGCAACACCCCCATCACTCTTCTGCTGCTGCCACTGCCGACAGCACAAGCCTCGGCCAGCCCTGGTTATCTGAGCCTTGGGCAGCCCTGGGAGGCTGGGTAGCCACCATCCAAGGCTTACCTGTGCCTGGGGCATCAGCTGGGCAGCTGCCATTCGAGGCTTGCCGGTACCTCGAGCCAAGCCTGGGCAGCTATGCAGCCACCGCCCAAGGCTTGCCTACGCCTTGGGCCGGCCCTGGGTGGCTGGGTGGCTGAGGGGACTAGGGTACTCCAGAGGCTGGTGTGCAGAGTGGCTGAGCCCACCCCCAGACCTGTCTTGGGGTGGGCCTGGCCATGCCATGTGCCTGCTACCCTGGCAGGGCTGAGGGGACTGGGCACCACTATCTTGTGGTTGTGGGCACTGCCATCTTAGAGGGCGTGACAGTCAATTAACATATTCCCTCCTTATTGGCTGCGGACACCACCAGCTTTGTGAGGTTGTGATGGTCAAATAGCATATTCCCTCTTTATTAGATAGGATATTAAAAAGTAAAATAAAAACAGAGGAAGGGGATCACGAGTCAAGGAATATACGAGGCTTTTAGACTGTGAAAAGGATTGACTCTGGAGCCTCTGGAAAGAATGCAAACCTACTGACACCTCACTTTACCCCAGTGAGACCCGTGTCCAACTCCAGAACCATAAGATAATAAATCTGTGTTGTTTTAAGCTACTATATATGTGGTGATTTGTTACAGCAGCAGTCGAAAACCAATACACAACGCTGGGATAGTTTTTAAGTGGAAAGATCATTTCATTCTATAGAGAAAAATTCAAGTCTTAAAAATATTCTAAGTGTTTAAAATACTCAAGTATTTAAAATACTCTACCTACGACAGGAATGCTGTTGGAAAACTAGAACTAGTCAACAAGTTTGTGTCCTCTGGAGGCAGTATGGTCTCTGCTGAGAGTGTAATATGGTCATAATTATACGTTTATTGGTCCTCTTCCTGGACAGAAAGAACTTCGGTTATGATGGGCGTTGATTAGAACAGAATCCCTACTTCTGATCAGACACAATGGAGGGTTAGAGGTTTTCTTTTTGTTTGTTTTTTACAAACCGGCTTCTGGTTTTGCTTATTTCAAGCTTGTTTTTCCTCCACTCTACAAGCACCTTTGGCGTTGAGCGCTGGCACACCTGTTCACATGGCCAGCACTTCGTGTCCTGACACCAGATGAAGGGGAGCGGTAGGAAGAGTGTCCCGGGCAGCCATACCGGGAAAGTGGGCAGTGATGTAGCGACACGTGAGTGATGGAGAACCACACAAACATGTTCACTGAATCCAAAGTAAATGTGTCCCCCAACTTACCCATTTATGGGTAATGTTAACATAAAGACATTCAAAGCTGTAAAGACTTTTTTTTGAGTATTTGAGCCAAACTGTCGACATATTCCAGGAAGCAGAACCTCAATGAACTTAGGTAATGCTCCGGAGAATGGCGGGTTACGTCTGTATTTAGACATTGCAATCAAAGGAAAGGGACCTAGGTGGGTTGCATGAAATCCACTGGCGACAGACTAGAGAGGCGGGAGAAAGCAAAGCGGGGGAAACCCCTGGGATTGGATAAAAAGTAAAATGATGGACACATACTTAGGTGGGTGCAGGAACAATTAACATGGTAACAAGGAAGGAATTTGTGGTCTCTGTCCAGGAGCCCAGGCACATTAGGCTGTTCCCCAAGGGGGTCCAGAAAAAGGGAAGTTACAAGTGACCCAGACATTTCAAGGGTATGTTATTATAGATGCAAAAAGACAGATAGGCTCAATTAAGGTAAAAGTTGACCTTGTCAGTGAATTTATCGGCCTAGGATGTAACTGCCCACCATAACTGCTTTTAATTAAAGTTTCATTTCAGACCATCATCATGGTGACTTTAGGCCTCAGTTCGCAAGACCTCCATGCAGGCCTCCCCTGAGCTTGTCAGGCTGGCACGTGGCCCCTTCCGTCCACACCAAGTAGACACATTGCTAAGAGCCCTCACATTAGCTTTGCAAGAGGTTCATGCACGTGAGAGGCCTGAAGCTTAAGCACGGGTAGCTCTGAGACAAACTCAAACCAAGTCCTGGCAGGTGATTTCCTTACACTGCGCTTTGTCACCCGCCCCCGCCCCCCTTCCTGCCTCAACACCTCTCCTGCAGAGAGGCAGCCTGGGCTGAGAAAAGAGCACCAGCTTTTCAGTTCAGTCAGCTCTCTCAGCCTCAGTGTACCTGCTTGGCGACGGGGAGAATAGCTACCCCACAGCGATGTGGCTGGGAAGACTGGGTGGGAAACTCAGGAGAAGCTTCCAGCCTGAGGTGGGCTGGTTACTGCCTCTTCCCGCCTCTCTGGGCTGCAGAGAAGAGGGGGTTATTGCCAAGGCTGGGAAGGGAAGGTAGCCGGGAACAGAAAAGCCCTTCCCCCACCCCCAGGCCCTGAGGCTTGCTCCCCCTTTTCGGTCCTGCTCTGTGTAGTAGCTACTTTTAAAAAAAATTTTTTTTAATTGCCTGCAGTTTAAAAAAGTATATATTTTATTGATTTTTTTACAGAGAGGAAGGGAGAAGGATAGAGAGTTAGAAACATCAATGAGAGAGAAACATCCATCAGCTGCCTCCTGCACACTCCCCTCTGGGGATGTGCCTGCAACCAAGATACATGCCCTTGACCAGAATCGAATGTGGGACCCTTGAGTCCAAAGATGGAAGCTCTATCCACTGAGCCAAACCGGTTAAGGCTGTAGTAACTACTTTTGCTTCTCCCTCCCTCTGGTCCCACCTCCAACACTTTGTGATCTCCAAGCCCCTCCATCCTGTCCCTTTGAAGGTTCCCCAGAGAGAGAAGGCTGAGAAATTTAGGGAAGGAATGTCCAGCCTGTTGGAGTGAGTCCTTTCTTTTATATTTTGTTGATTTTTTTACAGAGAGGAAGGGAGAGGGATAGAGAGTTAGAAACATCGACCAGCTGCCTCCTGCACACCCCCTACTGGGGATGTGCCCATAACCAATGTACATGCCCTTGACCGGAATCGAATCTGGGACCTTTCAGTCCGCAGGCTGACACTCTATCCACTGAGCCAAACCGGTTTTGGCTGGAGTGAGTCCTTTCAAAGGCAGCTGAAGGTGACCCCATCTCCCTTCTCCCATTCCTCTGGGGCTCCTGAAGGGCCCTCCATGCCCCTGGCTCCGCAGCCAATGATAAGGACGCAGTGATTGGCCTTGAAAAGTCAAGTGGAAGGACGCTTCAGAAAGGTCAGCTCTGAGGGTTTGGAGAGAGGTTTGGGGGTGAGGAAGCAGCTTCCAGAATCCCAGCCACCACTTCTTTTTGGCCTAAGAGTTCAGGCCAGTCGGCACAGGAGGGGAAATGTCCTAGCTTTTCTGGAAGGAGCATTTTGGTGAGGGCTGTGGCCATCAGGTTGTGGGGCTCAGCTCCATTTTGTCCCTGCAGGTTGGGAGGCATGGGGCTCATCCAAATAGGTAAAATCGTAAAACTCCTAAAAATCATTCCAGACGAGTCTATACAAACTGGCAAAGGTTAAAGGGCAGACTCCCTAAAGCCTGTGCCAGAGATTTCCATTCAGATAGTCTATTAATAAGATCTCTCTCTCAAGTGGTTCTGAGCTGGAGGTCTGAGGACCACATTTTATTGTTTTTGTTTTTTTAAAAATATATATATTTTATTAATTTTTTACAGAGAGGAAGAGAGAGGGATAGAGCGTTAGAAACATCGATGAGAGAGAATCATTGATCAGCTGCCTCTTACACCCTCCCCCGGGATGTGCCCACAACCAAGACACATGCTCTTGACTGGAATCGAACTCGGGACCTTTCAGTCCACAGGCCAACGCTCTATCCACTGAGCCAAACCGGTTTCAGCCACATTTTATTGTTAATCCTCACCCAAGGATATATTTTTTCCCCATTGATTTTTAGAGAGAGTGGAAGGGAGGGGGAGAGACACATAGAGAGAAGCAGGAGAATATATATATATATATCTCCCCACTTCCCCCCCCTCCCCAACCCTCATTGATTAATAAAGAGCGTGGAAGGGATTGGTTGCCTCCTGCAATGCACCCTGGGCCGGGGATCAAGACTGCAACCGAGGTAGGTGCCTCTCTATTCACTGAGCCACCCGGCCAGGGCTGAGCCCCCATTTTAAGGCGCTGCTCTTTAGTGACATACATATCCTCCTGGCTTTGGCCCTGTACCCAGGTCCTCCCGCTGGGAAATTGGTTCCTTCTGATCCTGCTTGCTTGCTTCTTGCAGACTCAACTCTCCGCAGGGTTTGGCTTGGCACCTCCCTGGGGCAACCATGGTAACCGCGGTAAACTCAGCGGGGTGCCCAGGGAAAACCGTGACCCTGGGCCTGGCTCTTGGAGGAGCTGCTGGCCATTGGACCCTGAGGGGCCCATGCTCTTCCCTCGAGGGTTCTGGTCCTGCCTCCAGAATTCAGCCAAAGCCAGGGCGAGGAGGAGCGGGGCTTGTGCCAGGGCGGGCCAGGGTTCTGGAGCCAGGCTCCGGCCTCAGCGCTGGCCCGGCTGGTTAGAGGGAGGCTTGGGGTTTCTGGGGCCACCAGCACGGCGCCCCCGCCCTCGGGAGCCCGGAGCCGGGGCGGGGCCTGGCCGGGAACGCGGGCTCTCGGTTGCTACGGTAACGTGTCAACACCCGGCGCCTTCCTGGCAGTGCCCGCAGCGGAGGCGGCAGAGGCGCGGCTGAGATGGTGAGGCCCCCGCGGCGGAGGGGACCTCTGGCAGCGCCTCCTGTGTGCGGACCTGGGTTGGCTTTCTGAGCCGGGGAAGTGGAGAAGTGGGGAGCACAGAAGTCGGGTCACGGTCTGGGTATCAGGAAGGCCCTGGAGCGGGGTAGTCACCCAAAAAGAAGCAAAGGAATTCCTGAGTAACGTCTTCCCCCAAGGGCGGGTGGATGGGGCCTGATAAGTCCTGCTGCTGAGCCTGGGAGTTGGGGAGAAAGGGGGTCTGTGAGATGTGATGAGGAAAACCGCTGGCTAGGAGGCCAGCTAACGGGTTAGACATGCCTGTTCTGCCACTAAGGAGCAGAGGGACCACACAAAAGTCACCTAATATTCTCAGCTTTCTCTTTTCTTCCTGGGGCTTGGGTCCCTCGGTATATACTCCACAAACATCTGAAGATGAGTGAACGAGAGGAAGGTACCAGGTCTGAAAGGCCCCGGAGAGCGATGGGGATGGGTCTGGCCAGCCTGGGGTTTGTGGGGTGGAAGGGTATTTGGCAGGGCCATGAGGCTTGAGAAGGGCAGCAGGCCTGGGAGGGCGATGCCTGGGCTCCAGGGAGGAGAGTGCAGGTCCCCGAGGGAGAAGGAAGAAGGGCAGGAGCAGGTGCTGCAGCCTCGGGTATCGGAAATAACCCCAGAGTTTCTGGGGACGTGCTGGGTGGGAAAGGTGGCTCCTTGGTGAACTGGTGGGCATACTCATGCCCAGAGAGGACACTGCTTTTCTGGGATCTGAGGTTCAGATGTAGAGACTTCAGAAGAGCTTTGTTAGCTATAAAATCAACACATTTTCAGCACAGGCCCCCACCTCTGAGGACCCCCCTGCAGGGTTTCCCTTAGCTTTCCTATGCCGTCATTCAGGGCTGCCAGGCTCAGAGGTGTGGGGTGCATGTCTGTCTGTGAGAGCCTAGCACCATGCCTGGCACATAAGGGCATGCAGTGAATGTTAGCTCTTTTTGTCTCCTGTTTTGAAAACGTTGTATTTCCAAGCCCAAATGAATCAGTAAGTTGCACTTGGATCAGGGATTCCCCATCCAAGGGCCACTCTGGGCAGGGGTTGGGCCTGCTGACTGAGCCCTTGGACAGGACTGAGTGTAAAGGGGCCTTTGAGAAGCTTTGGCCCAACCTCTGCTCTTCTGTGGGGGCAGGTGTGTGAGAGTGAGGGTGCGTGTGTATGTGTGTAAATGTGTGTTTGTGTGTGTGTGTGTGTGTGTTGCTTCTTGCTGGTTTTGAGAGCGTTTGGGGGATGGGGAAACGTAGTGGTGGTGGGGTGAGGCTCACTACTGGGCAGATCTTCAGGACTTCTACAAAAACAAGGATAACAACATCCTGCTGAAGGAGGGCCGGACCTCAGTAGTGAAAGATGAAACAGAGTGGGCCGGAGACTGGGATGCTTTATTGAAGAGAAGAGTAGCACTGCTGCTGCTTCCAGAGAGAGAGAGAGAGAGAGAGAGAGAGAGAGAGAGCGCGCGCTGAAGAGAGCGAGGGCTGGGGTACAAGCATCTTTAAGGGGAGGATAGGGGACGGGGCTTAGGGCACTCAGCACACGCTGATTGGTGGTTTCATGGAAGGCCTATGATTAGGGACCTAGGGACTTAAGAATGGGGGCTTAGGGTATTTGGCAGGTGCTGATTGGTGGTTCAGTGCTCAGGAATGTCTGGCTGCAGATGGGGTTTATGTCCGTCCATCAACTGGAGGAAGAGAGGATCTATCAAGTAGTGACTAGAATGTCGTCTTCGGATGGCATCCCACAGGTGGCCATCCCACTGGTTCCATTTGAGGACGGAGGGGAGCTGAGTGGATCGCTTAGTAAAAAGCAAGGTGCCTGCTGCCCGGGCATCCCCTCTCTGTAAGTGCCTGCAGAAAAAATAAGTAGAATCAGGCCAAGCGCTTGAAGCCTGAATTTGCTAGCCTGCAGTGACCCTGATGCGAAAGAGGAACTAGATCCTGGGTGGAGAGGACAGCCAGGAAAGGACATGACTTCATCTTCCTTCTGCTGACAGGCGCTACCGTGCTGTCAGGCATACTCCATGCAGACCTGACATGAGTTACCTAATAGTCTCAGCTTTCTCTTCTGTTCCTGGGGCTTGGGTCCCTCAGTATATACTCTATAAACATTTGCAAACGAATGAACGAATGAGGAAGGTACCAGGTCTGAGAGCGATGGGGAGATGGGGACAGATCCCAGCTCTGTGCTGCTGGAACTGAGTGGAACATCCGGGGACATAAAATGCTGCAGTTTTTAAAGGGCTTGGGACATCAGGCCCATTGCTGTGTTTCTGTTTTTAAATAAAAACAGTTTTCTTTTCCCCCTGGTCATAAAAAGAGTTACCTATTCACTGCAGAAAAGTATTCAACACAAGAGACACCTTAAGATGATAATGCTCACCTGAAATTAAGCATCTTTTGGTGAACATTCTTTACGTAACACATTCTGGGTGCATACCCTCATATACATATTTTTAGAGGGTTACATGCGTGTTTTTATAATTTGCTTTCTTTAAAACAGTAGGTTGTGTAGATCATCCTGTACTAATGACTAAGTCAAAATCATCACGCAACTGACTGGCTAATATCACGCATCAGAGTCTCTCCCAGATTCCAAGCAGTGGCCCCATTTTTGTGCTCCTGAGTGGGATGGTTTTGGAAGACAGAGGGAGTCACCGAAGTCCCCCAGAGGAGCGTTTTAAAGCAGGTCTGGCATCGTCATCTGTCCCCAGTCCTCATCTTCCCCAGCCCCGCTTGCCACCTCAGCTGTCGCTGCCAGTTTTTATCTGTCTCTCTTCCTTTTCTTCGAGAGCTGCCTCCCCCAGGGCCTGGACGGGCACCGCTCAGCTTCGAGGGGATGTTTACTTGGCCAGGGGAGAAACAAAACCAGCCCTTCTCCACCTGAAGGCACCCTTTGGCTCCCGCCTCGGGCCCAGCGAGATCTAACTTTCCGTTTCTGCCTGGTTCTTCTTCTTTCCAAGCATTTTTACACAGTGACCTCTCCACAGTTACTCTTGGCAAAACTGGCCATTCTCACCCTAATGTGCGGCTTGTGGCTTCCAAGTCAGCATTTCCCGAGTGAGGTTTCCTCAGCGGCCAGCCCTGCAGCTCAGTGCTGCCCTCGGCTCTGCTCGGCGGCCGCTTCTCTGCGGTCATTTGTTTTCCTTCGTCTGTGTTGACTTCTAGGCTCAGGCAGTGGAGGATCTCTTGTGTGACTTCCTCATGCCCTGGGTACCAAGGGGGCAGGAAAGAGGCGATGGGGCATCAGCCCTGAGGACCCATCCAAGCACCAGGGAAAGCCTGCAGGAGTTCTTTCTTTTTAAATCCTCACCCAAGGAGTGAGGCTATTTTTGACTTTTCTGAGTGGAAGGGATGGAGGAGGGGGGTAGGGGAGGGGAAAGAAAGAAAGAGAGAGAAACAGGGAAATATCAACGTGTTAGAGACAAATCAGTTGGTTGCCTACCACTTCCTTCCTGACCAGGGGTGGGAATTGAACCTGCAACCACGGTACAGGCCCTTGACAGGAATCGATCAAGGGCACAGATCTTCAGTTTGCGGTTCGACTCTGGAACCGCTGAGCCAAACCGTCCAGGACAGGAATTCTCGAAAAAACAAACCAACAGCAGGAAAACAAACACAAACAAAAATGATACTTCCCTCTGACCTCTAACCTTTCCAGATACCTTACTTTCCACAGTGCAGGCCATCGGCGATATGGAAAGTGTGGAGTGGCAGAGTGACCTGGAGTCAGGCAGGCCTATTCCAGAAAGGCTTCCATCTCCATCTGGCCTGCAGCCCTGGAGAGGCCATCGTGCTTGGTTTCATGCATGAATTCTCCATCAGATGCACATTGAGCTCCTCCTGTGTGTTAGGATTATGTACAGAACTCACACCGTTCCTCATCACCCAGTCCCTTCTACCCTCTCCAGCTCTTCCCATCGCTTAGCCTCAGTCCCACTGATTGCAGTTTCTGTTCATCTCCGCTCACTCTGATTTCAGTGCAAAGGGGAGCAGTTGCTCTCACTCATCTCCAGTCTGTTATGAGCCTCTTTGGGCTGCTGTGTTTGCCTTTCAACAAATCCAGCTTTTCTGCCCTGCTCTGTGGGGGCTGAGTGAGCCTTCCAAGGGAGGGTCCCTCTGTGAGCCTGCTGCCAGCTGGGCCGGGCAGGGACCAGCAGGACATACAGCAGTGCTGCTGGCATGGAACAGAGCCATCTGGAGAGGAATGGAATGGTCCCCATGGTGTGCAAACCCGATGCAGGCGGAGTAGTCCTGGGTATCTGATTGGTCATGCCCGGTGAGAGAGAGCTTTCAAAACACTGTCCAGGGTTTGGTGCCCTGGAATGCACAGTCCATTTCCATGTCTGCCCTGTCCCCTCGACAGCTGCTGGCTCCCAGGCTTGGGAGGCCCCGTGTGTGCAGCCCCTTCCCTGGAGACACCCCAGCTTAGAGCCCGGGGGGAGGTGTGGGCTCCTCCAGAGTGACAGCTGAATCCGCTTACGGTTCAGCCTGGCGTGGTCCCTCAGTCCTCACAGAAGCCACCTTTGAGGAGAGACCTTCCTGGGGACGGAGCTGAAGCTGGATGGACTCTGGGAACGAGGTGCATTAGTCAGGACTCTGGTGAGAAGCAGCGGAGCCGAAGCTCTAATTTAAGGATTTCAGGAAGCTCCACAGACTTTACACCAGGGTTGGGAAGCCAGGCTTGGAAAAAGGGAATACAAGGAGAAGTTGCAGCCAGAACAGAGGCCAAAGTCACAACCCAGCACTGCTCTGGCGAGGACCCTGGATGCTGGGTTGTACCCCCAATGCTGGCAGCTTTGGCTGCGGGGTGCTGCTCCTGGTGTCCTTATCAGCATCGCGCCAGACACTGGGGATGGCTGCTACGTCCTCTTTTGCCAGAAATGTTTCCCTTGTCCTCCTTTTCCCATTACCGGTGCCCTGACCCTTGCCAGGCTTTGGTGATCAGAGGGGCTTTGCCCAGGCTTGGAGGGCAAATATCTGGTGTCTTCAGCTTTAAAATTTTTTTTTTTAATTTTTTAAATATATTTTATTGATTTTTCATAGAGAGGAAGTGAGAGGGATAGAGAGTTAGAAACATCGATGAGAGAGAATCATCTATCAGCTGCCTCTTGCACACTCCCCTACTGGGGATGTGCCCGCAACCAAGGTACATGCCCTTGACTGGAATCGAACCTGGGACCTTTCAGTCCACAGGCCAACACTCTATCCACTGAGCCAAACCGGTTTCAGCTGGTGTCTTCAGCTTTGATAGTCAGAGCTGAGCCTTGTCCCCCACAACTGGTTGATGGGAAATTTCCAAACATAGGAAGACCCTGGGTGGTGGAAATGGACGAATGCACATGGAAGGGGTCCTGGGAGTGAACGCCAGGTGGTGGGCATTATGCACGGGGTTGTCTGGAGGTAGCATCATTCATTTACTGACGTTTACTAGGCACCAATCATGTGCCAAATGGTGGGCAAGGTGCTTTTCCATCCCTGATGCCCTCTGGTCCCAAGGGCAGACTGTGGAGATTTGAAGAGTTCAGATAGCAGAGCAGGGGGCTTGGAGCTCACGCCAAGACTATTGGAGGTGAAGCGGACCCTATCCATTTCTGGGGAAACAGGCCAAAGTGGCCTCACCAGCGAGTGTCCTTGTGGGAAACTGGAACTGGGACAGCAATGAGGTCACCCGCCTGCCATCCTCATTTCCTCCCTTCTTTCTTCCATCTGGCAGGAGGCCTTGGCCTTCAGCTCAGGGACCAGAAATGTTCCTTCTCATGGAGCTTGGCCTCTCCTCAGAGAACCCTCTCTCCTTTGAAGGTGTCCTCTACAGTTCAGGGTCCACCCGGGTGCTTTCCCCAGTGGCTTTTCCATATGCACCCTTACCTACCGTGGCATGGGCAGAGGATGCGCTTACCTTTCAAGGCCCAGATGGTACTCAGTGCTGACGGCTGACTCTTTTTGCCTCTCCCCGCAGCCGTTAAGCACCACAGGGATCCAGAGCTGCTCTTCCTCCACTTCCAACAGGTCAAGGAACCGGTCTCGTTATCGGACCAAAGCTGTGAACTGCGAGGTAGATGAGAGCCTCTTCGGAGGTAAAAAGGTAACCCTGGCCCAGCCCCGCTAGGGAGCTGCCACCTGCAGGCAGTCCCTGCACTGGTGTTCCTCAGGGCAAAGCTAGCTCCGCGCAGGCCATCCCCTCCCTGGTAACTCCCGGATGAAGACGGAGGGGAGTTCTGAGAGCCAGCAGGGGAGCTCGAACATCTAGGGGGGCCACAGAAGCAGGGCACCTGGCTCCCCCCCCCCATCCCGTCCTCATCTCTGCACAGCATTGAACATCTGTTGTCATGCTGGAGGGGAGGCTCAGCTGCAGAGAGCTGGGTGGTTGCTCAGTGAACATCCTTGAGGAAAACAGGGAAGGGCCACTGGACTGAGCTTGAAGCCACAGAGCAACACATTTCCCCTCCATCCAAGAACAGCATCGGAACAAAACACAAAGTCCTCCTCCTTTCCCAGGTGCTCCATGCAAACAATTTCTCAGCTTCGGGATACAAGCAGGTCTCTATTTGCCAATGTTGTCCTGGCTAAGAGGTTGACGACTCCTTTAGCCTACGGCAGTGGTGGGCAAACTGCGGCTCGCGAGCCACCTGCAGCTCTTTGGCCCCTTGAGTTTTTAGCAAAGGCCAGCTTAGGAGCACCCTCATTAAGTTAATGACAATATATCTACCTATAGAGTTTAAGTTTAAAAAATTTGGCTCTTAAAAGAAATGTCCATCGTTGTACTGTTGATATTTGGCTCTGTTGACTAATGAATTTGCCCAGCACTGGTCTACGGAGAGCTGGCTGTTACGTGGAATAATTTGGTACCCGTGGAGCTCAGAGGGCAAGCAGGAAGAGAGGCAAGTCCAGAAAGAGAAGGGGGCAGGGAGAGAAGGGCAGCGAGAGAGAGAAAAGAGCTAGAATACTGAGTACTGGTGTGACCACCTCTGGCAGCGGGCGGGCTGGGGAGAGGAGAGGTGACCTCCATCCTTGCTTCTCACCAGCTTCACTATGAAGGGACTTTTCAGAGGAATCAAGACAGGCATCTTTCTGCATTTAGAGAACCCCTCTCTGTAGCAGTTTTCCTCTTGGCAAGGGAAAGAACCAAGGGATGCAATCCTATTCACACGCTTTTGTTTGTTTGTTTGGGTCCATGCAGACTCTGCCAGTCAAAGCAAAGATAGGTTGGGAAATGGCTGAGTTCGCTGAGTAGTCCTGCTGCCCAGCAGAAGGGGCAGCCAGAAATATGCCCGTTCCTGGCGCCGCTTCTTTGGCCTTGTTGCTGGGTGAGAACCAAGGAAGTCTCCCAACCAGCAGCAGGGGGCAGAAGGGACCTGTGGCATGACTGACATGCCCACTCGGAAGCAGAGATGGGCACCAGGTGGCAGCACCAGTCGGGACCTCTGTGTAGTGTGAGGTCCTCGGGCCAGGAAGGACCTCCTTGGAGGGGTCCCCCGCCTCCATTCAGGACCACAGTCACCGCGTTAACAAGGAATGAACATTTCTCCGGCGTTCAAAACCTTCCTGAAATAAGCGATTTCATTTTCTTATTAACTCCTTCACGGTCAGAACATTTTGGGGAAAAATCATATCTATCTAATTGGTATTCTTGCTGAATTCTAACTCTCTGACTTTCTCACGTTAGGTTTAAGGGCCGGTCTCCACCAGGCCATTCAGCCATTTCTAACTTCTCTCTCCTTCCCCCCTCCCCCCCATATAGCTTTCTTTGGGGATCCAAGTCAACTAATCATTAGAAAGGATTTAAATACATGGATAGCATAGATTGAATGAGTCTGTAACAAATAGTATTGCTTCAGATCCACCATGAAAGGATTACTTCTTCTTTTACAAATCCTGACAAGATGTCCGTCTGGAGCTTTTATTCCCGATGGTTTTAGGTTAGGTACAGACACACCCTAGCAACCCCCACTGCCTATCCACCCAGGAGTATCTGCACATGTTAGAGAAGCCTTGTCTTTGGAAGAGCCGGTCAGCACAGAGCACATCTGGCCATGTTCAAGTGCAGAGCGCCACCCACTTCCTCGGTGCCCTGTGGAAGCCTCCAGAGAGGGGAGGGCCACACTTGAAGTTCAGGACTGACCAACAGGAAGTGAGGTGACTGGCTTCTCAGCTGTCCTTCTGGACCCACAGCCCCCGGCCCAGAGCGACAGCCCCATCGTGCTGCTCCGAGACAAGCGTGCCATTGAGAAGACGTTCTCTGCGTTGGCCTTGGAGCACAAGCCGAAGACCATCCAGCTCATCACCCGGGACCTGGTCCGGGAGCTCATGTGAGTGTCCGGGGCCCATGCCCTCCCCCTCGTCCCAGCTGCCCCGCTGCCGAGGACCCGCACAGGGAAACGGGGAACCCACCTGGTTTTATGGTCAAGTCTCTTCTTCTTTCCTGGTCATTTCCCCCATGCATTTTATGGTTCCCCTTCTTCCTTCTTCGTCTTGACCTCTTAGCCCCCCCCCTTCTTGTACCTGCTATTTTCCTTACTCTTGATTCTCAGCTTCTTTAAAAATAAATAAATATTTTATTGATTTTTTTTACAGAGAGGGAGGGAGAGGGATAGTTAGAAACATCGATGAGAGAGAAACATCGATCAGCTGCCTCCTGCACACATCCTACTGGGGATGTGCCTGTAACCAATGTACATGCCCTTGACCGGAATCGAACCCGAGACCCGAAGTCCGCAGGCCGACGCTCTATCCACTGAGCCAAACTGGTTTTGGCTTAATTCCCAGCTTCTTTCCCTGCCTTCTCTTCTCCCTGCTGTGGAACCTAAGGGGCAGGTAGTGGGGAGAGGCTTATGGGTCCTCCCTGAGCCCCCAGGAGAGCACCCGGTAAAGAGAATGGTCCAGATGAATCACTTCCTTTCGGCTGCTTCAGGAACCTGAAGCAAAGGGAAACTGACCAGATGCCTAATTAGGCCCTTGGCATCTTCCCAGGCTCCGAGGCCAAGAGAGGAAATTCCCACAGGCTCTTGGGTTCTTTGGCGATTAGGTCAGCACAGCTTCCCGCTCGGAGCTGGCCCGGGCCCGGCCCCTCCTGGGGGGTTCAGGCCGCGCTCAGAGGTGTGACATGAGCCAGTGTGCTGCTCAGTGGCTCTCTGAAACCATTCTCTCTGCTCTGGCCCCACTGGCTAAAAGCTTGCATTTCTAGAAAACGCTGTCTGTGTCACGAGCTGGGACACAGTTCCAGGAGCACTGTCTGGTTAGTCCTGGCATCACACGGCCAGATGTGGTCAGCAGCCCTGTGGCTCCACCGGGGGCCCCACAAATGGTCCCGATGTGGAGGGGTCTAGTTCTGAAAATACATTGGAGAGGAAGTGGCAGGTTCCTGGCCAGGGCTGCCGAAAGCCCACGAGATGCAGCCTCAGATTCAGATTATTCCCGGGCGTTTCAGATTCTGGGCTCTTTAGGAGAAGGTGACCAGACGTCCCGCTTTTGGCGGGACAGTCTCGATTTTTAACAATTTGTCCCACATCACCTTACTTTAGGGCCCACCACTCAGTGAACCAGGAGATCTTGGGTGAGCCCCGAATCCATTCACTCGTTTGTTCCACCTCCTGGGCCTCCCCCCACATTAGTTTTACTGGGTGAGGTTTCACTTCCTGCCTCAGCCAGCTGCATCTCCCGGCCTGGTGGCTGTTAAAGGGCCTCACCCAGAAGCAGCTTGATTCCCACCTCCTGCCTCCCCCGCCCCCACCTTTAATGTATGTCATTTGTTTGTAATCATCATAATTACCTATTGGTTTGTTGAATGGTTGGGCAGCTGGAAAGGAGAGGTCTATAGACCGTGTTGATCAGACATTTTAATTAATATTTAAGGTTCAAAGCTTCTCCCTGGGCTGAATGGACCGGGTGTCTGGCTTTCTCGCTGGCATTCATGTCAGCCTGTCTGGCGTCCCCTAACCCCTTTTATGTCATCCTTGAGGAATCATCTATTTTTAAAGTTGAATTCAGCAGCTTCGTTTTGAGTTCTCCCTCTGTTCCCCATACTGGGCTGGAGACGAGGCTGCCCCTGTGGTTAAGACAGAGACGGTGTCCCTGAAGGCGTTTGTAATCCAGCAAGGAAACAGGCCCTGCCCAGCGGCTCCGACAGGGCAGTGAGAGCAGATCACTGTGGGCCTCGGAGCAAGAGGTGGTCTGTTGGTGGGGAGAGGGGGGTGTCTGCATATGTGTACATTGGGGGGAAGGCCATGAAGGGTTAAACAGGGATGGCAACATATAAGCTGGGCCTTTTAGGAAAAGTTCTTTTTTTTTTTTTTTTTAAATATATTTTATTGATTTTTTTACAGAGAGAAAGGGAGAGGGATAGAAAGCCAGAAACATCGATGAGAGAGTAATATCGATCAGCTGCCTCTTGCACACCCCCTACTGGGGACGTGCCCGCAACTCAGGAACATGCCCTTGACTGGAATCGAACCCGGGACCCTGGAGTCCGCAGGCCGATGCTCTATCCATTGAGCCAAACCGGTTTGGGCTAGGAAAAGTTCTTAAAATGTCCCTATAGCCTAAGATGCTGCGTCACCCTCTCCTGGGATGGTTTTCCCGGCCATGTCTGTGCCCGGGGGGAAGGGGGGTGTTGGCAATGACGAGGGAGGGGGGAAGAGAGCAGAGAAGCCTGCTGCATCGTGTGAGAGCCTTCCCTCCCCCCAACTCCCTAACTTTGCTCGTTCCTGTGTCAGCGTTCCCACAGAGGATCCCTCCGGGGAGTCCCTCATCATGAGTCCCGAAGAGTTTGAGCGGATTAAGTGGGCATCCCAAGTACTGAGCAAAGAAGAACTTGAGGCCAGGGTGCAGGCCTTCAAGAAGGAGAAGGAAGCCGCCTTGGTAGCTAACCCCTCGAGCCCCGGTCCCTACGGATGGGAGGCAGAAGAGAGATGTCCTGGGGAGAGGCCAGCTTCCCTTGAGACGGGGGGTGTCTAATTAGGGGGCCCTGGAACAAGGCACGGGTGGAGACATGCTGTAGAATGAAGATCCGTTGTGGGAGCAACAGGGTTGGGGGAGAGGGGAAGGGGGAAGGGGGAGGATAAAGCCAGGCTGAGAATCTTCCGGGTCTGATAGCATGGTGGGGTGGAGCACACGTAATATTGGGTCCCTTGTGGTAGCCAGTCCAGTGCCCAGGACACAGCACACTGACGCGGACGGTCTCCTGTAGGATGCCGTCACCACACGCAAGAAGGTCATGAAGCAGAAGGACATGATCTGGATGAAGAACAAGAAGCTCGATGACCTAGAGGAGGAGGCCAAGGAGAGGGCCGAGAACCTTCTGCAGAGAGCCAACAAGCAGCGGATAGAGCAGGAGGAGGAGCTCAGGGACATGAGCCAGGTCGGGGCTCTGCCCTGTCCCCTCCTCTTAACCCACAGCATTGGCTTCAGCTGGAGGTGGGGCAAGGAGGGGGAAGGGGAGGGCTTGCTGGGGGGTTGGGGAAGGAAGGTGGGGGAGAGCTGCATCTGCCTTGTGGTGGCTGTGATCCAAAGGAGTTCTGGTTTGCCTTGAGCGAGTGGTTGTGGCCCCTCAGCACGTCTCTCGGCCCTCTGGAACCTTGCTTTCTTCTTTTGTAAAGTGAGCGTGGTCAGACTACTTGGTGGAATTATTGGAAGGAGTAAATGAACTAATATATGGGATAAGCTTTGCAAACTGGGTTGACAAATACATGGGAGGAGTCTGCTTTTATTTTCATCCTGCTAGTTCAATTCTGGTCCCAGAGGGTCATCAGGCAATGGAGTTCTTTATATATATATATATATATATATATATATATATATATATATATATATATATATATATATAAAATTGATTTTTTACAGAGAGGAAGGGAGAGGAAGAGAGTTAGAAACATCGATGAGAGAGAAATATCGATCAGCTGCCTCTTGCACACATCCCACTGGGGATGTGTCCGCAACCAAGGTCGATGCAATAGAACCTGGGATCCTTGAATCCGCAGGCTCTATCCACTGAGCCAAACCGGTTAGGAAAATGGCGTTCTTTTTGAAGTGCGTTAGCTGAGAGCATAAAGGCCAGCAGCTCATGTGAACTCCTCATTGGCAGGTTCACTTCCCAACCAATGAACAAGGGTGACCCCCAACCCCTTCATCTACCCTCTGTCTCTCTACCTAACCCTCCTTTTATTTTTGAAAGCTTTTATTTTATGGTTTTTATGGATGGTCCTGAATTTCCATCCCCTTCTGTATCATGCTGGGCTCTTACAGCTTGGACATTTGGTGACTTGGACTCTGCCTGAGTGTGTTGGTTTCCCTGAGAAGTAGAGCAAGGGTCTTCACTGCGGCTCATGGGTCCCTTAAGGGGGACCATGTGGCTCTGAAGTTTCATGGAGATTTAGTGTGTCTACTTGAGGGGGCCATCGCTTTCATCGTAGTCCCCAAAGTGTGATCCATGGCCCCCAACATTGAGTCAGTTTCCCGAAAGAAGCATGTAGCAGGAACCCAGTATTATATTTAAATAATACCCTATTTCCCCAAAAATAAGACAGTGTCTTATATTAATTTTTCTCCCAAAGTTGCGCTAGGTCTTATTTTCAGGGGATGTCTTCTCTTTCCATGCCCTAGGTCTTATTTTCGGGGAAACACATCGTAAAGGGAAGGTCCAATATAAGAATGCTCTTGCTTTTCTGGGCTTGTGAGCAGCCATGTGCATTTCTAGCACACGTGATAATATTCTAGTCCCATTTCTCTTCCCTCCAACTTCCACACCCCCCTGGTGCATCCCTTCCTAATCTTACCTCCAGACATAGCACCACTGTTTCACTTCCACTCCGCAGATCATCCTTAATGCCAAGTGCCATGCCATCCGGGATGCCCAGATCCTGGAGAAACAACTGATTCAAAAAGAACTGGATGCAGAGGAGAAGCGGTTGGATCAGATGATGGAGGCGGAGCGGCAGAAATTGCTTCAAAGGCAGGAGGAGCTTCTCAGGAAGAGGAGAGAGGAAAGAATCCGGTAAAGAGGTGGTTTTGGCATCTTTCTTTCTGTCGTTTTCTTGAATCTCTAGGTCCAGGTAGACTTTCACAGAGGGAAGAGATGAGACACGGCCATTGTCATCATCTGTTATGATCTCAAAACCTTTATAGAGTGATTATGGAACCACACACCTTCCTAAAGCTTGTTTCCAAAGATCACAACGGGTGCTTCACCACCTGGCCCCCAGCCAACCTCATCTGTCACCATTTCCTGCCATTCACTCTGTGTTTCCTCCGTCCCCCACCATGCCAGGTCTTGTTACAAGTTCATTCATGACTTCTGTTGCTCCCACTGCTTGGAATACCCTTCTCTTTACTTTTCCCTGGAAAAACACTGTCTCTTCCCGGAGTCTGTAGTTTGCTGTCACCTCCCCCGAGACACCTCCCTCACTTCCCCAGGAGACTCAGTGCCCCATCACACTGTGTTGAGACCCAGCACACCACTTCTTGCATTGTTGTCTCTGGCCCTCACTACACTGCACGATCACGGAGGACACAGTCCCTGCCTCATTTATTTCTGTAGCTCCTGGGCCTACCAGAGTGTTTGGCCTGTAGTAGGCTCTTAATACATGTTTGAATGGATGAATTTAGTTTGCTTCATTTTACAGAAAAGGATAAGACCCAGAACAGGTAAATTATAACATCACAGTGTCCTAGATTCAGCACACCAACCATATACTACAAAAATCACCTCCATGAAAGTGCTTGTATTCCACTGAATGGCAGTTCTCTTTCCCCATCTGTATTCTGTTCTCTGGCACCATTCACCTCTAGACTTATAGTAGGCACCTAGTAGACTATAGTAGGCTTCCAATAAAAGTTTATTCAATGGATAAATAGCTCTTCATCTTCTGCATAAATAGCTCCAATCAATGAATTATCTCCGCCTCATTAGGCAGCTCTAATGACTTGAGCTGGTCCTTGTATTGAGTTTAAACCTGCTTCCATGCAACTCTTACTCACTCCTGTTTATTTCATCTGGAGTCATGAAGCCATCAAGTGTTCTACTTAAAAGTGACTTTTGTACTCTTTCTCCTAGATTCTTATTCTAATCAGTGTCATCTCTCATTCTCCCAGGCTTTACTTGTATATCATGAGGTCTGGGTGCTTCCAAATTTATTGACATCTCAATAACACATAGGAAACCGTGCAATCCTGGTTGTAGAATCTGGTTTGCCAGACTTGGCCCTCTTCACTAGCAGTTGACAATCTCAAAATGTAAGATAGGATATAAGAAAGAGACTTAGCAAACTAGGTATGGGGAGTAGGGTGGGATGACGACACAGGGTGATAGCAGGGGAATTGGAGGAAGGGGAAGAAGTCATAGGATTTATATATATCTATATATCTATATATCTATATATCTATATATCTATATATCTATATATCTATATATCTATATCTATCTCTATCTATCTATCTATCTATCTATCTATCTATCTATCTATCTACCTATCTATATATTTTTTCCCCCCAAAGAGGAAGGGAGAGAAACATAGAAACATCCATGATGAGAGAGAACCAATGATTGGCTTCTTCACACCCCACACTGGAGATTAAGCTCACAACCCTGGCATGTGCCTGACTGGGAATCGAACCATGCCATCCTGGTTCATAGGTTGATGTTCAACCCTAGCCTTTGCAACTCTTAAAGCTCTGTGGAGCTAGCATGCAAAGCTAGCTCCCTGTGATTATTCTGGGAAGGCTTGGGAGGTGGTAGCATTTTAGAAGTTCTTTACATGCTGAAAGGGAGATGGTTCATTATATGGGGTTCACTCTGGGAACAAATGAAGAAAGGGACTATCAAGAAGTATGAGCCCCAGAACCAGGAGCTTGGAAAAGAGAGGACTGACCCTTTGAGACACTGGGAAGGACTTTGGTCTGGGCTCAGGAACCATAGAGATGGTTAGGGCACATCTCAAATTGTTCTTGTCATGCCTCCCATTCTGGGAGGCACTTGGGTGAAGTTTGGAGCCTAGAGGAACAGATCCTTGATTTCTAAGACAATGTGGTTCTGTTTCCTCCAGAGGAAAACGGCACATTATGCAACAGATGCAAAAGAAACAGGAGGAGCGATCACTGTTTGTGGAGCAGCAGGAGCAGGAGAAGGAGCAGATGCTGGAATACATGGAGCAGCTCCAAGAGGAGGATCTCAGGGTAATAGGGCTGGGCAGTTGTGCTAGGTTCTACCAGCACCAGCAACAAAGCCCTCCAAGATTTGGGGATTCCAGGCACATGTTCATTTCACAACATTAACATCACCACCAACTTTTTATTGCCACATTGAACATTTATTTGGCCATGGTACCATGCTGAGGATCAGCAAAGATTTGGATAAAGACTGTCCCTGCCGCCCAGAAACCCGTGGTCCAAGACTGACATGTCCATGCGAGTGGACTCATAAAGAAAATATATGGCTGCTTGCTTTACACAAATAAACAGATGGATGAATTATGGTCTCTCCTCAATTACCTAGGGATATTACACACTTTGTCAATGAATGTAGCAGTGTCTTAGTTCTAGGCTTCCTGCTGCTACCTCATTCAAAGAACACAGCATCCCAGTGTCATTAGTTGTGTTGACGAGCCAAACCTTTTTTCCTGTTAGCCTAAATAAAATTAGTAGGCTTATTTGTTGCCTAAGAAATGATGACATACCTGACCAGACTAAGTAGACTTAAAAAAAATTCTCTTTTATTTGCCTTACCTGGTCTGTTGCAGTATACAAAAGCATAGCAGGGTCATGGCAAGCATTTGGAGCATTTATTATTTTTCCCCTCAATTTTTCACTTTTGAAAAATTTCACACACACCAATTGAAAAAATTGTACTGCACACATAATACTTCACCGATTTAATGGTTGGTAGTATGCCTTAGTTGCTTGTCTCTTTTAGAGGTATATGCATATTCTGTTATTGTTAGACTATTTAAAAGTGAGTTGCAGATATCTTGACACTTAACTCTTAAATGCTTCAGTCTGCATCTCTGAAGAATAAAGCATTCTATTACATGTCAACAGAACTATTATCTCTTCCCCCACCAAAAAAATCTAATAATTCTATATCATTTAATATTTAATTCACATTCAATTTCCATCAATTGTTCCAAAAATATATTTCAGTTATCTTCTTTTTCCAAACCAGGACCACTCACTTAATTCCCTTTAGTGTGTTTTGATCCAGACTTCACTCCTTCCTTCTTTCTTCCTTTATTCATTCCTTTATTTTTATAACACTGATATTTTGGGTATCCAGGCTGGTTGACTCGAAGAATGTGCACATTCTGATTTGTCTGATTGTTTCCATTTAACTTGTGGAACATGAATGCTTTTATTTTGTTCCTCCTCCCTCATATTAAAGGATGACTGAGTTGTCATTTGGTGATCCATTTGATGGTGATGAGTGACAGAGGCCCCGAAAGGGTCTTACAAATGGCCTTATAATTATGAAGGCTTCTTAGAGCACCTGCAATGTGGGAGAAAGATCGCCTGGATGGTTAGGGATGGTGAGGGGCCATGTAGCCTTGTGAACCACTTGAAAAGGGGATCAACAGGGAAACGAAGACAGAGAGACCTGATCACATTCCTGGCTCAGGAGAGAGAGGAATAGGTCCAGGAAGGAAAGACAAGGGGTAAATATGAAGGGAAAAGGGTGAGAAACGAAGGCTGGAAAGTCCAATTAGACTGTGGTGAGTGGGAATGGTGGGCCCATTGAGGAAATTCCTGGTGTCATTGAGTCAACACCATTGCACTGATATTGTGTCGTTGTCATTTTGCTGTCCTTTTTAAAAATATATATATTTTTATTGATTTCAGAGTGGAAGGGAGAGGGAGAAGAGAGAGAAACAACAATGATTAGAGAGGCACAGGTCTCTACTCAAAATTGCCTAACAGTGCTGCCTGCAGACTCAAGGAGTGCCTATCAGAAGGGCAGCAAGGCCCCACTGGCGTGGCTCAGTGCTTGAGTGTCGACCTATGAACCAGGAGGTCACGGTTTGATTTCCGGTCAGGCCGTATGCCCAGGTCGACACTCAAGCACTGAGCCACACCGGGAGGGCCTTGCTGCCCTCCTAACAGGCACTCCCTGAGTCTGCAGGAAGTATGGTTAGGCAATTTGAAGTAGAAACCTGTGCCTCTCCAGCTTAGACTTGCCTTATCGTCTTGGGATGGTGCGAGGACAGCTTCCCCACCTCGCTAACAGGATGGAGAAGAATGCGGGGAGTTCTCCTGGGGTTGCTTTGGAATGGCTTCAAAGATGAGAAGCAGGGAAGGCCCTTTGGTATCAGAAATGAAATGAACCAACAAAGACAACAAATTAAAAAAGTAAACACACAGGCAAAGAAATAAATCAATGCATATATGATTGTATGTCTTAGATCAGAGATCTGCAGCTTTGCGAGTCAATGGGATTAAATAATGCCTGGGGTACCAATGACACCGGAGGCCTAACACTGGGGTGATGGTGGTGGTGTGGGAGAAGGTAGGAAGGAAAGGAAGAAAGGGAGAAGGGGGAAAAGGAGTGTAAGAGTTAGAGTAGCAAAAGGGGAAACGTGGCGGCGTGTGTGAGGAGGTGGGTATGGTGAGAGTGCAGGCATGCTGGTAGCCATGACTCAGGCCCCACGTGGACTTGGTTAGAGGCAGATGTGCTGTGCTAATCTGGCTCAGAAGGCTTCCTGGAAGAAAGAGCCCTGTCCTGGGCTGTGAGCCAGGCTGGGGAGAGCTGGTAGAATTGCCTTGGATGAGTCAGGGTAGAAGCTGGGCTGTGGAGGTGCTGGAAGACCAGGGAAGGGTATGGTTTTTGAAGAAATGGAGGGAGCTGGAAACAGTGTGGGAGGTAGGGTGAGTCGGTGGGTAGATGAGTTTGAAGCAAGGAGTCTGATAGAGGGGGTAGGGAGGCAGCTGCACAAAATTCCAGTGTCCCTCCGCATTGGAGCCGGAAGATGTGCGTGGCTCAGAAGTGGCCTGATGATCAGGAGCTCCCAAAGGCTTGGCGCTGGGAAAGGCAGGACTCCTTCCTCAGAGGGGGTCTTGTCACCCAGTTGTTACCTTGGTTCTCTGATCTCTATCACTCATTGTGTTTCTGTGTCTAAGTTGTTGTTGTTTCCTTTTATCAATAGTTATCTCTTTTAGCAATAGTTTATTGAGTATTTTCTGTTTTTCTCTCAACTGGGCTACATGTTGTTGACTAAGAGAGGAAGTGTGACACATGGCCCCTGTTCTCTAGCTGTGACAGAACGAATGCACAGGGATGTTATTAAATCCCAGGAGGTGTGCTGACATTAAGCAAGGAGGAGAGAATTGCAGCTTGGGGCAATCAAGTAAGATTTCCAGAAAAGGTTGGAACTTTAATGTAGACAGCTCAGGTCTCAAGATTCTGGCTCTGCAGTTTAGTAGCTAATTGGCTCTGGGCAAATTACTTAAACTCTGGACCTCATCTTCATTTTCATGAGAGAGATAACAAAGCCTAACTTTCAGGGATTTGGGTTGTGTTTCGTTGCTAGAAATAGGCTATGTGCTCAATGAACAGGAATATCCAATTAGGGCAATACTTATTATTAAAATGGTCACTATTAATGATGACCAAAAGCTTGGGTTTAAGTAGAAGAGAATTGAAGACAGGAGAAACACACCATGAGCAAAGCCATAGGGATGGGGTTTGGCATGACATGTGCAAGACACTGATTAGAATTTTAATATCCTCCACTTCCTGAGAGTATAACTAGATCAACAGTGTCAGGGGCTGCCACAAAGTCAAGTTGGATGAAGACTATAAAAAGGCCATTTGCCTGGAAGAGGTCATTGACAACCCTTAAAAGAACAGCATTGCCTTAGCCAGTTTGGCTCAGTGGATAGAGCATTGGCCTGCAGACTGAAGGGTCCTGGGTTCGATTCTGGTCAAGGGTCCATGCCCAGGTGGTGGGCTCGATCCCCAGTAGGGGTTGTGCAGAAGGTAGCCAATCAGTAATTCTCTCTCATGATTGATGTTTCTATCTTCCTCTCTCTTTCTTTCTGAAATATATATATATATATATATATATATATATATATATATATATATATATATATATATACACTAGAGGCCTGATGCATGAAAATCATATAAAGGGATCGGCCCTTGAAGCCCAGGCTTCATCCAGAAGGACATCCGGTCTAATTAGCATTTTATGCTTTTATTATTATAGATGGCAACTTTAACAAAAAATAGCTATTGAAGAATTTGTGTCTATGTGTGTCTCTTAATCCTTATGTGCCAGTGTCTTTAGGTTGTGTCCCCTTCTACTCTGAGACTCTTCTCCTTTTGCTGGCAGGACATGGAACGAAGGCACCAGGAGAAACTGAAGATGCAAGCTGAGATTCAGCGCTTCAAAGAGGAGAGCCAGAAGCAGAAAGCAGAGCTGCAGGCTCAGGAGAGGCTGGCAGACCAGTTGGTGATGGAGTTCACCAAGAAGAAGATGGTAGGGACCTGCTTTCTGACCTTTAGGACTTGTGGCCAGGAATGGAATGTCTGTCATGGGGAGAGGCAGGCCTGAGAGCTGAGGGAACTCCAATGCAAACCAGCCCTGTCTTCTAAAAGTTAACTACTTCTTTCAAGGGCTTGGCTTCTTTTTCTCCTCATCTCAGCCAGTCCACTTGTTCATTAAAGGAGAATAGCCTGGAAAAAAACACCCAAATTAGGGTATAATTATCATTGTTAACACCTTTGATTAGAAGTTGGGATGAGGGTCAGGTGCAGGCAGGAAAGAAAATGAAAACTACTGGTGAAATTAAAGTTTCCGGTGGATTCCTCATGACCCGGATAATGATATCGTCATTAATCATGAGTCAGCTTTCCACAAGTTTCTTGTGAAAACCCCCATATTGGGCATCCTGTGTTAGGTGCTGGAATCAGAAAATAGAGTCTTTCCCATTCCTCACTGTGGAACCCATAGAACAAATGCACATGGAACAGAAGGCAACGTCTGCAATGGTTACCAGGGGATGAAAGTTAGGAATGGGCAGGCTCATTCTAGGGCAAATGGGGTAATGGAATGATTGGCCCTGTGCTGGGCAAAAGAAAACTTTTAAGCACCGTTTAGATGGAGTGAACACGAATTTATGTGAGAAGAAAGGGAAGGACTCAAGGTCGCAGAAAAATGTGTTCAATTCTAAGTGTGTTGGTCCTGTCTCTTCTCTGGTGTTGAGCTTCTATGCTGATGGAGGGCACATCATACTTTTCCATAGTAGTGAGTTTTAATGATGGACAAGGGGAGGATAAAGGCATAGGTGATATGCCTATGTACTCCAAATGCAAAACACAGAAAGGAAGCTTAATAAACCCATTTGTTCGCTTTGGCTTTCTTATTGGATGCAGGGATACACAGGCACAGAATGAGAATGTAAGGCGAAGAGCATCGATGGTTTGTACATAACAGCGATCACATAATTGCTATTTGTTGAGAGCTTAGTCTATGCACAGGCGCTGTGCCACGTGCTTCACGAGTGTTGTCTCATTTGATCATTACAACCCCCTCGTGGACCTAGTCACTGATTGATTCAAAATGTCCTGAATGCTTCCATGTGTGTCCAGTGTCAGACGAGGCTGAGCACACCTAGATGAAGAGAACTCAGCGGCTACGTCCCTGAACAGGTGAAGGCGGTGTCGGAGTTGGTGAATAGATCTGCTGGCCGCGGCAGAGCGTCAGTGGTGGCCATGATAAGGAATGAGGTGATGAGGTGACAGGGAGCTGAGAGCAGTTGCTGAGGATGCCTGGGACCTTGAGCAGAGCTAGAAGCAGGGAGCGATGGGACATCACCATAGATTTCTGGGCAGGAGAGGAGTGTGCCTTCACTTCATCCATGGGGAGAACGTAGACGGGATTTGCTGCAAGAGGATGATGACTAACAAAGGGATCAGGCACCTGGGCATATGCACAGCTCACTGTAAGTGTCCAAGTGCATCACAAGCTCTTTCCTGACCTCAGTGGTCTCTGTTCTTGCAGCCAGTGCTGCCTCTTTAGAGCTGGTTGGGTATGAAAGCCTCCAGCGTTCTCTGCCCTGCCATCTAGAGCACAGGGGGGGGGGGGGGCAGAGAGACCAGTGTGGTGTACAGTCAGTGTGCACAGCTCACAGGTAGGCACTCAGTGGGCTGCCCAGAAGCCTGGGTAGTTAGAATGAGAGCGAAGGAAAGTTCCTTATGGGGAGATCACATTTCCACCCAACCTGAGCCATCAGTCTGTGACCTCCCTGGAATGGCGGTTGGGAAGCTGGACCTGGTAAGCTTTTAGGGACATATCTGTTCTTTCAGAGGAGAAGCAGAGGGAGCGAATTGGGATGGGTCAGTCCTTCGGTCTCTGCTAACCACCGTGGGACTGCCCAAAGCATGCTGGCCATTTGCCCAGGGACTAACGAGATAACCTCCGCCTGCTGAACTTTACAAGGCAGGCAGGGAGCCACAGCAGTTACTTTTAGGAACTTGGCCCGGTGGCCGTGTAACCTGGAAGTTGTAAAGCTGGAAGGAGCATGCAGGCTGTGCTCAGGAAACAAGTGCTCAAAGCCTGTTTGGCTGCTGACCAGCCATGCCCTCTAGGGCAGGAACTTTAATCTCTGTGACCATCAGGTTCTTCATCTACAATATCTGTCTCAGGAGATTCGAGGACCCAAACCGTTGCTCGCAAGCCACATGTGGCTCTTTGGCCCCTTGAGTGTTCTAACGCCACTTCTTCACAATAGACTCGCCCAGGCTGAAAACCGACTTCTGTGCATGGGCCACAGGGTTCCAATCGCACTGTACGTGCCCGCCCACACGTGGTATTTTGTGGAAGAGCCACACCCAAGGGGCCAAAAGAGCCGCATGTGGCTCGCGAGCCACGGTTTGCCGACCACTGCTCTGTGATAACACAGGAGAAAGCTAACAGATTTGCTAACTGGTCTTATGTCCTTGCATTGCTGGTTGTTTTGCTGTACAGGGAGGAGTCAGGCGGTCGGGGAGATCCTGGATAGACGGGTGCGGGGGCTTGGTTTCTCTCTGCAAGGCGGGGCAGTGGGAGATGCCCTTCAAAGCCTTTCTTGTTGGCAGGCTCGAGAAGCAGAGTTTGAGGCTGAGCAGGAGAGAATCAGGAGGGAGAAAGAGAAGGAGATCGCCCGCATGAGGATCCTGCAAGAAAAGGCCCAGGATTACCTGGCAGAAAAGGTACCTGTTTTCTACCTCCCTCCATCTCTTCTGTTCCCGTAACTGTTCTTGTGGCAGCCACTCCGAGGGCCTCGAGGGTGGAGATGTAGAAGAAATGATCCAGACCGCTGCCATCTAAGAGAGAAGGGCGGGCCTGCTTCCAGTGTGTGAGGCAGCAAGGACTGAGCATGTGTTATGGGCTTAAGGTCCAAGAGAAAGTTTTTGACTGTTTTGTAAAGAACGTTCAAGCTTAACTAATCATTGAAATGTGCTACCGGAGGAAACCGTAACAGTTCCTTTATTAGCAGTTTTTAAAGTGAGAAGCAGTCGCAGGACTACCTGGAAGTGTTTGAGATACAGGAAAAGCATTGGGATGAGTGAGGCGGAAGGACAAGGTGATCCCTCGGTACCTTCTGGCCCTGAAGTTCTTTTTCTTTTTAATATACGTTTACTGATTTCAGAGAGAGGAAGGGAGAGGGAGAGAGAGAGACAGAGAAACATCAATGATGAGAATCATGGATCAGCTGCCTCATGCATGCCCCCTACTGAGGATGGAGCCCGCAACCTGGACATGTGCCCTGACCAGGAATCAAAACCATGACCTCCCAGTTCCTGGGTCGAGGCTTATCCACTGCGCAACACCGGCCAGCTGCCCTGCCCTGAAAGTTCTATGACAGGACTGCATTTATTCCTCCCCAGAATAACCTTGCGGCTAGAGAAACCCATGCAACTTCTCAAAGCAGCCGTGTGTCAGTCTCCCTCTCCCCGCTGCCCTTTCATCCGCTGAGAACCACTGATCAATTTCAAAGACTTCTCAGGCTGCGTCGGGGAGTCTGCGAAGGGGTGTCTGGTCCCTGTGAAGGGCACCTGGTCCCCTGTGAGATTGTTTTTGCAAACTCCCTGGCCTCCCCACCCTCTGCTTTCCCAGGATGCCTTGCGGGCAAAGCGCAACCAGGAGGTTGCAGACAGAGAGTGGCGCAGGAAGGAGAAGGAAAACGCGCAGAAGAAGATGGAGACGGAGGCCAGGCTGCGGAAAACGAGGCTGGAGCAGGTGGCGTTCAAGCAGCACACGCTGGCAGTGCAGGTGCAACGGGACCGGGATGAATTCGACCGGATCCTTCGGTAGGAGGGGTGGAATGCCCGCTCCCTTTCCTTGCGCTGTGGCTGGGATGTCCATAGACAGCCACACGTCCACCTTGGCCCGGTGGGCGGGGTCACTCTAACCAGATGGATGATTGAAACATTTCAGACACTCGAGCCAAGAATTTTTAAATTGAATTGAATTTTAATATTTTAAAATTGATTTCGGAGTGGAAAGGAGAGGGAGAGAGAGGTAGAAACATCAGTGATGAGAGAGGATCATTGATTGGCTGCTTCCTGCAAGCCCCCCCACCAGGGGTTGAGCCCTCAACTTGGGCCTGTGCCCTGAATGGGAATCAAACCGAAACCTCCTGGTTCATAGGCCGATGTTCAACCACTGAGCCACGCCAGCCAGGAGAGCCAAGAATTTTATGATTAGAGAATTGGAAACCTGGAAGTGTTGAAGGATTTAGGGATGGTTGGGATTATTTATCTTGGAGTGTTGAAGGTGTAAGGAAAGTTATAAATCTTGCCCTTTCTGCCCGCCCCCCCCTCCACCCACCACATGTCTTCCTGCCAGTTGGGGATGAAATTTCGGCAGGGAGGTGAGGAGAGATGAAGGAAACTTCAAACACAAGTGGTTGTGAGTCATTGGAGCAGGGCTTTCAGCGAGGTCTTTTCCCTTCACTTGACAAATGTGTACTAAGCTCACAAATTCAAGGCGCTGTGCTGGGTGCTATGGGGAATGTGAGGGAGGAATAATGCACTGTTCCTGCCCTGCACGGAGGAAGGATGTCAGAGACTCGTTTAGATGGACCTCACCTGTACTTCTCCATGTCTCTGCCTTGCCAGCTCTTTATCCTTTTCTGTTTTCTCTGATGGGTCGGTAATAATGGTGACGCAGAAATGAAGGCTGAGTGTTCACACCTCTCAGCCCCCTGCCTCAAAGCGCTTAGCAGTTCTAGCCGCTCCGGGTTCTATCAGGCAGATCTGCCCCTCGGACGGACGTGGCCCTGAGTGTTCTCCAGGCTCTACCTCTGCTGGTTGAACTGGGAATGACTCCATTTTTGCTCTATGAGATCTTGAGACGATAAGATCAGAACATTTCCAAGGAAAACAAAGCAAACGAAATTTTAATTGAGTGGTTACAATACAAAATAACTGAAATTATGCTCCGATGAGTAGAGATGAGTAAAATGGCACAGCCCAACTTTCTTGGTCTACACACTCTAGGTTCTTGGTTGTTTTTTTTTTTTTTTTTTTTTTTTTAAATATATTTTTATTGATTTCAGAGAGGAAGGGAGAGGGAGAGAGAGAATATCAATGATGAGAGGGAATCATTGATCAGCTGCCTCCTGCATGCCCCCTACTGGGGTTGGAGCCTACAACCTGGGCACGTGCCTTTGACTGACGCTCTAACTACTGAGCCAAACCAGCCAGGGCTGAGTTCTTATTCTTGATACAGCCCGTTAGCTGCTGCTAGAGCAGGCTTGGAGCCTTGGCCAGAGATAGAGCAGGTCCATTGGAAGCTCTGTCCTTGGCAGAGCCAGGTTCCTGGTCGTTTATTGGGCTGTGGGCCCCCGGCCTGTCCCCACTGGTCGGGATGCCCTTTGGCTCTGTAGCCTCCCTGCCCTCAGTGCTGTGCCACGGTCTCTGGATACCTGGTAAAGAAGGCAGCGTCTTCAATGGCCCCAGAGATTCTGCCCCTGGGCTCCAGTCTCCTCTCAGCTGTGTGCCCTCCCCAGCCTCCGTGCCCTGGGACATCTGTGCTGCCTTTAGCAGGCACTAAATGTTAACGGAAAGAGATGAAAGTTCCGCTTCTGTCACTGACCCATTTGTTTGTTCTTAGCTTTGTTCTTTCGAAGCATACATAGTAGTCAGTTTTAAAAAATATATATTTTATTGATTTTTTTCCCCCCCGAGAGGAAGAGAGAGGGATAGAGAGAAACATCGATGAGAGAGAAAGAAACATTGATCAGCTGCCTCTTGCACACCCCCTACTGGAGATGTGCCCGCAATCAGGGTACATGCCCTTAACCAGAATTGAACTCGGGACCTTTATCCACTGAGGCTCTATCCACTGAGCCAAACCGGTTTCAGCAGTAGTCAGTTTAAAAAAAAAAAAAAAAAATATATATATATATATACACACACACACACATATATATATATATATATATATATATATATATATATATATATTATTGATTTCAGAGAGAAAGGGAAAGGAAAGCAGAGATAGAAACATCAATTATGAGAGAGAATGATTGATCAGTTGCCTCCTGCTTGCCTCCTACTGGGGATAGAGCCTGGACATGTGCCCTGACCCTGACTGGGAATTGAACCGTGACCTTCTGGTTCATAGGTCAATGCTCAACCTCTGAGCCAGCCACACTGGCTGGGCTTTAGCAGTCAGTCTTTAAAGCTGGAAACTTCAAGTTTATCCGTTGTCCTAGGTTGGTGTCTAGACCTCGTGTCTCCAGGGCCTGGTGGTCACCATGGTGGTTGTCTTCACGTGCTAAGAGCATCTCTGCCATGGCCACTGCGTCCTACTTCCTAAGCACAGCCTCCTGTGTGGCCCATACAGGGACTCCCTTCTGGGCAGAGGGCTGCCTGTAACCCTGGCCTGCTGACTGAGCAGAGAGAGCAGAGCTGTCCTCCCCTCTGGTTCCTGGAAATGCCTGGGAGATTTCCCAAGGGCGATGCCCAGGCTGCACCTCCATGAACTCTGGCTTAGCGGGTCTGGGTGGGGCCCAGCCATCAGTTGTTTTTTGCAAGTTCCCAGATCACTGCTCGAACAATGTGATGCAGGCTCTCCCCATGCAGATCTTACGGCCAGCCGCCCCAGGTTCTCTAGTGACATGAGGTCCTCTGTTTCACCCTGTTTCTCATGCTGTGAATAGTGGGAATCTGTTCTCTGTATAGAAAGCAATGGCAAGGCGAAGGGGAGTGCCTGCTGCCTAGATGCGCCTGGCCAGAGGGGTTTGGGGCCTAAGCACAGAACGCCAAGGAAGCCAGCAGTTCTCTCCTGGAGAACTCAGAAGGTTCTGCAGCAGCAGCATTTTAAAAGGCGTTTCATGGTGTAAAGGAATGGCTGGGAGTTGAACTGATCCCCCATGATGGTGCATCTTGGGTGATGGCTAGAGGGAAGTGAATAAGTGAAGCGGAGCTTTGGGTACCTTTGTTGGGGTGTGAGTGACCCCAGGGGAGCAGGACAGGGGAGAGATCTCTGCCTGAGAGGATTTGACATTTGGCTTTTTATTACATTGAGGAAGAATTAAAATGATAGCTCAAGATGGCTTATGACGGCATTTCCTCTGAGATAGGAATAGGTTTTATGTGAGTTTTTCTGAGCTCATCTAGTCTATATTAGCCATTCACCTTGACATCAGGGGCCATAAAGAATTCCTGTGGAAGAGGGTCTAAGAGGAATTCGGAGAGTTGGGGCAACAAGAGAAGGAAGAGGTGTCAGGCTGAGTTTCTTGCTTCTCCCAGCAACCAAGGAGAGCTCGCAGAACAGATTGACCACTTCCTCTAAGTATTCCCGTGGTTGGTTTTGTAATGCCAGCATTACTGTTCATGAGAAGGAAGGAAGGAAGGAAGGAAGGAAGGAAGGAAGGAAGGAAGGAAGGAAGGAGTAGGGAGAGGGAGAGGAAGGGGAAGAAGGAGAGGAAGAAAAGGGAGAGGGATAGGGAGAAGGAGAGAGATAAGAGGGAAAGGGAGAGGAAGAAGGAGAGGAAAAAGAGGGGGAGGGAGAGGAAGAAGGGGAGGGAGAGAGAGAAGGGGATGGAGAGGGAGAAGGAGAGGAAGAGGGAAGAAGGAGAAGGGGATGGAGAGGGAGAAGGAGAGGAAGAGGGAAGAGGGAGAAGGGGAAGGAGAGGGAGAGGGAAGAGGGAGAAAGGGATGGAGAGGGAGAAGGGGAGGGGGAGGTAGAAGGAGAGGGAGAGGGAAGAGGGAGAAGGGGAGGGAGAGGGAGATCATAGAACTAGCTGGAGAGGAGTTGTACTTCGTTGTAAGAGACAAAAGTAGGAACAATAGCTTCCAGTGAATGAAACTCTGAGTGTGGGACCATAATGTGCAGGGTCCAGTGGAAAAAATGAGATTGTGGGCCTCTTGTTAAAAGAACTATTAAGAATTTTAAAACAGCGACAGCAGGACATTAAGTTAAGCGTGGGGCCCTTCTAAGCTGCCCTCTGATGCGCAGTGGCGGGTCCTGGCTGGAGGCGAGTGGGGAGCATGCGCAGGGGCAGCCTTGGAGGCTGGTCTGGGAGCCCCAGAGAGGGCTGGAGCCTGGGTCCCTGAAGCACATCCCCGGGAGGAGCCAGCCCAGGAGGCGCCCCAGCACTTTTCCTTGGGGGGAGGTGGCAGCTCACTCCACACCCCGCGTCCCCCCAGGGCCCAGCGAGAGCAGATTGAGCGGGAGCGGCTGGCGGAGGAGAAGAGGGCCTCGGAGCGCCTGCAGCACGTGCAGGAGCTGCGGCGCCAGGTGCGCGAGAACCAGCAGAAGATGGTGCAGGAGCGCATCGCCACCTTCGAGGAGGGCCGGCGCCTCAAGGAGGAGGCGCAGCGGCGCAGCGAGCGCATCAACGACGTCAAGAAGAAGAAGATCGAGGAGCTGAGGTACTCTCCCTGCTCCTCCTCCGGTCCCCCACCCCCCTGGTCCCCCAGAGGCGGAAAGGCTGGAGAGCTGGGATTCCGGGATGGCAGGGCCTGATGGAGGTGCTCAGGGGGGTTGCCGTCTGCATGGGGCTCCCGCAGAATATCCGGGGGCCTGGGTCTTCCCGCTCCCTGGGAGCTACTTGGCAGGATGCTGGGGCTTCCACAGGAGTATGTTTGGGGGATGAATCCTGGGAGTGGGTTGGGGGGGGGGTGCAGGGCCCCAGGTCTATAACCCCACTCCCACCCTGCTGCCTGCTCTCTGGCGCCCTGACCCTTACCCCCACCCCGTGTCTCTCTCTCTACCCGCCCCTCCCCCCCTCACCTCCCCCTCTGCAGAGCCACCGGCCTCCCCGAGAAATACTGCATCGAAGCTGAGCGCAAAGCCAACATCCTGCCTGCCACCCCTGTGAGCTGAGGGGCCTCTCAGCTCCCCGGATGCTTCCCGGGGAAGGTCCGCCCAGCACTTGGGTGCCCATGACTGCTGCTAACATAGACGTTTAGTAGTTACAGATTAAATCTATTCTACTCTAAGCAGCAGCCCGCATCCTATGTGGGGACTGGCTCCTCCAGGGCAATGAGGGGGCAGGGGACACAGGTGTGCGGGGCGCGGTGCTCTGGGGCCAGACCGGACGCAGGGATGCTCCCCACCGTGGCCCTTGGTTCTGGTGTCTCTTGGCCTTTTGTGAGCCTCTGGATGCTGCCATCAGGCCAGCTTCCCGCGCAGGCCCAGCCCAGGGCGTTCTGGGCCGGCAGGAGCTAGAGATGCGCTCAGGGAGGGGCCGGGCGGGCTGGGTGGATGGGAAGGAAGCGCTCGGCCATTGGAGATAGAGCTCTTCTGGGCTCACGCCTATGACTCAGGCTGCATCTGTGCTGGGAGTGGCATCTGAACCCGGATTTACCCACCTGCCTCAGCCCTGCCCCACCTGAGCCTTTCATCTGCAGCAGCGCCACCACACAGACACTGCCGTCCCTCAGCGGGCCACACCCAGGGCCCGCTGCTCCTCCTGTGGCCCAGGCCCTCACCCAAACACAGCGGCCCATCAGGCAAGCGGCTGGGCAGCCCTCAGTCCACCTCACTCCGATGAGGGGCGCTCCCCACAGCCATCGCTGCACGTGTTAATCCTCTGTCCGCTCATTCGCTCCTTCAACACTTCCCAGGTCCAAGGATGTGCTAGGGATGGCCCGGCAGTGAGCACAGCAGACCTAGCTCCATCCTCACAGAAACTTCTCATTGTCCTGTCTTTTCTTTTCTTTTCTTTTCTTTTCTTTTCTTTTCTTTTCTTTTCTTTTCTTTTCTTTTCTTTTCTTTTTCCTTCCTTCCTTCCTTCCTTCCTTCCTTCCTTCCTTCCTTCCTTCCTTCCTTTCCTCCCTTCCCTTCCCTTCCCTTCCCTTCCCTTCCCTTCCCTTCCCTTCCCTTCCCTTCCCTTCCCTTCCCTTCCCTTCCCTTCCCGTCCTTTCCTTTCCTTTCCTTTCCTTTCCTTTCCTTTCCTTTCCTTTCCTTTCCTTTCCTTTCCTTTCCTTTCCTTTCCTTTCCTTTCCTTTCCTTTCCTTTCCTTTCCTTTCCTTTCCTTTCCTTTATTTTCCTTTCCTTTCCTTTCCTTTCCTTTCCTTTCCTTTCCTTTCCTTTCCTTTCCTTTCCTTTCCTTTCTCTCTCTCTCTCTCCCTCTCTCTCTCTCTCTCTCTCTCTCTCTCTCTCTCTCTCTTTCTTTCTTTCTTTCTTTCTTTCTTTCTTTCTTTCTTTCTTTCTTTTTAAGCTGGGTGGGCATATGGGACTTTCCCAAAATAATTTTTTTCCATTTAAAAAAAATATATTTTATTGATTTTTTTTACAGAGCGGAAGGGAGAGAGATAGAGAGCTAGAAACGTCCATGAGAGAGAAACATTAACCAGCTGCCTCTTGCACACCTCCCACCGGGGATGTGCCCACAACCAATGTACATGCCCTTGACCGGAATCGAACCTGGGACCTTTCTGTCCGCAGACCGATGCTCTACCACTGAGCCAAACTGGTTTCGGCTTTTTCCCATTATTTTTTTTAAATTAAGGTATTATTGTTCCCGTCTGTTTTGTCTCTCCCCCCATCGCCTCTTCTCCTCCTTTAACCCCCCCCCCCCCCAACACACACACAGCTGCTCCCATCAAGTTTCTTGTACCTTTAGAATAGTCTCAGCCTTTTTTGAGAAAAACCCGATGATTATCTGACTCCCACTGGACGGAAATGCTAGCTTCTGGGCTCGGAGCCTGCCCCATTGGTATGCCTTGGGGGAAAGTGCTTCCACCCAGCTCCCATCCCGAATGGCGCCCCTCCCCTCTGCCCTTGCTATTCATTTCTCAAACCCAGAGCCCAGTCCTCCCTCCATGGGGCCTGCACTAGAGGAGGCGGAGACAGCTGCTGGCAGAAGGCAGCCGTGTGCACAAGGCCAGGGTACAAGGCCCTCTGACAATAGTCCTCCTTTCAAAGGGAGAGCGGCAAGCTGCTTCCTGTGCTTCCTCTTCCTCTTGGCGGGAAGGCGCTCCAGGCTGCAGCGTCCCCGGGCGCCTTCCCCACCTTCCTCTTCAGGAAGACTCTAGTTCCTGCCCAGCAGCTGGGCTTGGGAAAGAGGCCTTTTTCACCTTCCCTGCTCAGTATCCCTGAGTGCATCCTCCTCCCTCAGGAAGCTGCGATCTTCCCCCCTCGGGGTCTTGGAAAGGGTGGTACCCAGCCTCGGGTGAACGAGAAGACATGGCAATCCACTGAGGACTGTGGCCCCTCCTGCACCTGGCTTACTTGCCTGCGTTCTCTGTGAACATCACCTATGGGACGGTCAGTACCCGCCGAGACCGAGGAGTGAGCCTTTGCCATTTCAGGGGGCCCTCTTGCCAGGAAAGCCAGACATGGCCTTGGGTGCCTGGGGTTTGCTCAGCTCCTCACATAAGCCATCCATCTCAGGGCTAGAGAAATGGCTCTCTTGGAGTGCAGGGCAAGGGGGAAAGAGGTTGCACTGCTAACTTCTGAGCCCATGGAGGAAAAAGGAAAAGAAGAGCCAAGTTCACAGGTTGCAAGCAAGGCTAGCCTTTCACCGGAACTGCTGCTGGTGAAAATGCAGGGCTGCGGGGCTTGGCAGATGCCAAGGGCTGATAGTGAGGCTGACTAGACGTGGCAGGGGCAGTGATAGGTGTCATAACTTCCGATGGAGGCCTGCAGTCAGCTCTGAGCCGGTGAACTGGTTTGGGAGGGAAGCTCAGAGTCCAGCCCTCAGGGGTTCTCTCCGTTAAGGAATTCTTTTTTTTTTTTTTTAATATATTTTATTGATTCTTCACAGAGAGGAAGGGAGAGAGATAGAGAGCTAGAAACATCAATGAGAGAGAAACATCGACCAGCTGCCTCCTGCACACCCCCTACTGGGGATGTGCCCGCAACCAATGTACATGCCCCTGACCGGAATCGAACCTGGGACCTTTCAGTCCGCAGACTGACGCTCTACCACTGAGCCAAACTGGCTTCAGCCGTTAAGGAATTCTTGGAATTGACTCCCGGCCTGGCAGAGAGTTCAGTCTCTTCTCTCTGGATTCCAAAGGAGCTCTGCGCAGGATTCCTTGGGCTGCAGGACTGGCCCGACTTATCAGAACCTTGTTCCTAAAAGTAGGACACTCCTGCCAGCTGGGCCAGCAGCTGGCATCTGAGGCTAGCCGGCCACCTCTGGACATTTTTATAAACTCTCCACCGCTCTCACTCACGAATGGCAGTGGGAATAATTACAGGGCGAAGCTCCCTGCAGTTAACTGGGGGCTGCTGGGGTCAGGCATGGTACTCCGGGCAGAGCAAATGGGGGGCTTTGTGAGCCCACCTTGCAGAGGGGAGGGGTAGGGCCTTGAGACAAAGAAGAGAAAAAATTGGAATTTGTTGACCTGCCAGCTCAGGAATAACGAGCTGCTGGAGGTGGGAGCTGTAGTCCTAATTCTCAGAGGAGGAAATGAGCTCTGCGTGCCCCTCCAAGCCACTGAATGGGCTCAGGGGTTTCTGGGAAATTGAAGAGGGAAGAGTGGAGCTGGGGAAATCTAAGGATGGGAAGGACGTGCTGTTGGGTGCATTCTCTTGGTTGATAGAAAGATGTGAGAAGCTTGCAGGGAAAATAAAGTGTCTAAAACTACTGACTTGGCCGAAACTAGTTTGGCTCAGTGGATAGAGCATCAACGTGTGGACTGAAAGGTCCCAGGTTCGATTCCAGTCAAGGGCATGTATCTTGGTTGCGGGCACATCCCCAGTGGGGGATGTGCAAGAGGCAGCTGATCAATGATTCTCTCTTGCCGATGTTTCTGACTCTCTATCCCTCTCTCTTCCTCTCTGTAAAAAATCAATAAAATATATTTTAAAAAATAAAAATAAAACTATTGACTTGATTGTATGGATCCCCGATTGCTTCTCAGCTCCTTTTCTTCTGCCTCCTGAGCCTTCCTGACTTTGCAGTGTCAGGCTGGGATGAGGTGGCCTGGAAAAGCCAGTGGAGGGCTCCACCATGGAGCACTGAATCAGGTCTTCATGCAATGACCGCCTGGTCACATGTCCTCCAGCGCCTGGCTGGCTCTATGTCCCACCTGCCCGCATGTGCCTGAGCCTGAGTCAGGCTGTACTGTGACTCGGAGGCTGTCTGAGAACCTTTGCACCAGCCAAAGCAGCAGCTCCAGTTGGTCAGGACTCAGCAGTCTGCTCTGGTGGCCAAGCCAGGCTGCCCCTGACTCAGGAGGGGGCGGGGTGTCGTCCAGCACCTCTGAAAGCCTCCGCATCCACATCTGTGCCTTGGGTCCAGGCATTCATTGGTCTCAGTAAAAGCACTTTGATTGGGCTGGGATGAAAGGGGCTCAGAGAGTTCAAAGCCAGACAGGGTTTTTGGGGTGAAGAAGCGTGGCAGCTGTTGAGGTGACAGTGGAGGGAAGACGCTGGAGTCTCAGACAGGAAGTCTGAGAGTGGAGCCCATAGCGTTCCTCACTCACATCCATCCTGATTGGTCCTTCTTTAGAGCAGGAGCCTGGGGGAGAGATTGGGGGAGGGGGATAGGGGAGGGGGAGAAAGGGTTCATCTAGACCAGAGGTATCGCTCTGCTGTCAAGGTGACTCTTCCCCCCATTCTCTCTCCCATCCATACTCTGAGATCTAGACTGGCAAATCACCAAGGTTACCTGGAAGAAGGTCATTTCCAGCATCACAGAAATCTAGAGTCCCAGAAAAGGCTTAGTTATTCTTGATTTGACTGGCTCTGAATAGCTTAGACATTCCCTCTGTCATAGCTCCCACTCTCCCAGCTGGGCTGTCCTTGCAGTGCAAGCTCTGCATTCCTTCGTGCATTCTCCACATCCTCTTGGGAGAGGGGTCACCATGATCTCAATGTCCTCTGATGACTTGGAGGCTGGGACAGGAATATAAGGTCAAGGTTTTGGT